GGGGGAGGGGGGTGGGGAGAGGGGTGCGGGCACAGCTGCTGGGGGTCTTCCCCAACACCCCCGCAGGTACGGGGACATGGCCAGGAGCTCCTCCCGATTGTGCCACCAGCAACAAGTCAGCCCGGCCGCTCGAGGCCGCCCTGTGCTGTTCATTGGATTTTGGGGACAGGTGGGGTTACGGGAGGCGCCTCTTAGGCAGTCGCTGCAGGGGAATGAGCGAGCGCTCGCCCTCAAGCTGGACAAGGGGGCTGGTGCTCCTCCTGCTCAGCCCACAGGCTGCAGGACGAATGTGACACCACTGCGATGCACCAGGACGCAGGCTCGCTCAGGGCCTCCGGGGGTCAGAGGCATGGCTAAGGCGGGGCCCTGGGCGTCCCCACTGCTGTCCCATTTTCCACTTCATAAGGGGAGAGAAACCACTGACCTGTCCCGCGAATAATCCACAGACTCCGATTATACACAGGATGTTGAACACAGCAGAGCCCACAATGGTCCCAACCCCGACGTCCCCGTGGGTGATGAACACGCCTGGAAAGAGAAAGGCACGAGTCCTGGTCTGCAAGGCCCAGGCCTGCCCAGGCCTGCCCCAGCCGCACACCCAGGCTGGCTGCGAGGCCTGTGTCCCCCTGACCCCATCTCCCCACAAACCAGGGGGAGCTGCTCTCACATCCAACAGAACTCCCACGATGCTGGGAGAATGGGGGTGCCCTCAAAGACCAGCTACTCTAATTCCTCCACTTTTTGAACAGCTTTATTAAGATACAATTCCTATGCCATAAAATGCACCTGTTTAAAGTATCAATTCAGTGTTTTGCAGTACAGTCACGGAATTGTGCAACCATCACCACGACCTAATTTTGGAACAATTTCATCACCCCAGAAAGAAACCCCGCACCCGTTCGCACCGCACTCCACCCATTAGTGGTTCCGCCCCAGGGAGCTACTAATGTACTTCCCGTCTCTCCAGTGCTCCCGCTTTACAGATGAGAAAATGAGGCTCAGAGCTGACGCATGCCTTCACTTGTCAGGGCACCAAACCTGGGCTCTCACCAGATCCTGTGTCTCCAGCTGGTGGGATTTCTTACCAATAACAGAGGCAAACAGCTCGGGTGTCGAGCTTCCCGCAGCCATGAAGGTGGCTCCAGCCACATCTTCACTCAGATGGAGCTTCTGAAACAGAGATGACCACAGACCCCCAGGGTGTGACGTGGGGGCAGTGGGCACACTAACTGGGCACTTCGGCAGCCAGGGAGTCAGCTCCTCCCTGGCAGCCTCTCCTCCCTGCGCCCTGAGCACACACCCTCAGCCTCTCTGCTGGGCCCTCGATCCAGAATCCTGTCCCCTTCCCCCACCTAGAGGTGAGCACGTGGCTCCGTCTGAGTGAGGCAAGGGGAGGCGAGGCAAAGCCTTTGCGTACTTTTGCCGGGTCACTCACTATTTAGGGGACCCAGGTCAAGTAGCCAGCCCTTGCTCTGTGCTCAGCAGTGGGGTAAAGTAATGAAGTGCCTGTCCCCAACAATCCATGTCCCCAGCTGTAAATGTCACGACAATATGGCCTCAAACAATTTGGCTGGGAGGTTTCACGGGGGTAAAGTGTGGCAAAGTCCCGAGCAGTCTGCACACAGTGGGTGCTTTTCCTGCCTTGGCTAGAAGCCAAGAATAAGGTAGAGTAAAGGTAGACTGGGGTCTTGCATATGAGGAGAAAGAAGAAAGTAAAAACTTAACAAAATAATTAAAAGGAGAAAGTATCAACGTGCAAAGGTTGGGACAGGGGGTGTTCCCTGCGTTGCAGCTCAGCCTCCTCCCTGGGGACACAGACCCCACCTGGTACACACCTCCTACACCTGGTTATGGCGAACGCTCCCTAAGCAACCAGGTTTGGCTTAACTGCAGGCAGCCGGCCCGCCTGCCGCGGAGCCAGAGGCTCTGGGTAACGGGTGCGCGCTGGGGGCATTTTCTTCTGCTACGTCTGGGAGAGGATGCCACCGGCCAACTCTAATCTGGGGGTTTCAGGGTGAGGCTTCGCCATGGTGACACGGAATGACTGGCCTGACAATCTCACTGCAAGAGTGCTGCCAGTCCCTCTCAGCCTGGCACTGACGTGCCACATGTCCTCGATCACCCCCAGCCCCCTCCCAGGCTTCACCGTGGGGTCCCAAGTCTCTCCCGTGTACCTCACAGATCTTCTCTAGAGACGGAACGAAGAAGTCATCGCACACTATGGCCAGGGCGTAGAACATGTATAGAGCCTGCGAAGGAAACGGGACAGACAGTGTCAGCGAGGGCACCTGCCACCGATGGGGCACAACTGGGCATCCACCATACCCAAACCAGCCTATGGGGCAGGCTTGGAGGAAAATTCCAGCACTATAGAGACTTACTACTTCAATCCCCTCACTGACAAAATGGGAAACTGAGGCCCAGAGAGAAGAAGTACTTGCTGAGGGAACTAAAACCCAGGCCACATGGCCTGTGCTCTGTCTTCTTATCTTAAAGCAGCAGCTCTCCCAGCACAGAGTATGCTCTCGAAAGGCAAGACCTAACCTTTGAAGAAAAGCACTTAAAATCACCATTTTAAGAGTTTAAAATAATAATCGTCCTGATTTCCCCTTAGTTTTAGTGAAGGCACCATTTCCTTGTGACCACTGGCCACCCCCTGCCAAAACAAAGGGCAGCTTGAGATCTGGCATTTCCCGGGATGCTACTTGATGTTGGCAAAGGTTAAAATACACAAGCAGCCTGGCCGGGTGTGGCTCAGCTGTTGAGTGTCGACCTAGGATCCAGGCGATCGGGGTTTGATTCCTGGTCAGGGCACATGCCCGGGTTGTGGGCTCGATCCCCAGTCAGGGGCATGCAGGAGGCAGTCGATCAATGACTCTCTCATCATTGATGTTTCTCTCTCTCTCTCTCCCTCTCCTTTCCTCTCTCTGAAATCAATAAAGATACATTTTTTAAAAAAATACACAAGCCATTGACATTGGGAGGTTCATGGAACAAAGGGTCTAGATTCTAATGCTGATTCTGGTACTTATTTTCCAGGTGACTTTGGATAAGTTATGCCTCTAGGTCGCAGTTTCTTCATCTGTTTAATGACAGAGTAAGAACAGATCAGTAGTTTCAAAAATGTTTTATATACAGAAGCCCTCAGTTGCCCTGTCTACTCAACACAGCTTTACTGAGCTCACCTATGTACCAGGTGCTGTTCTAGGCATCAGGGATACATGGTGAGGACACCAGGAAATGCCTCTGACTCACCTCAGTGGCGGACAAACAAATAGGCAAATACAGTATCTATCACTGCCAGAAAACAGGAAGTGCAAAGGTCCTGAGGCAGGAGCGTGCTTGACGCATCTGAGGAACAGCAAGGTGCAGACAGAACGCAGTAAGAATGAGGTGGGAAACAGAGACTGTAAGGCTGGAGGGAAAGGCAAGAATGAAGAATCACAGACAAGAGATGAGATTTTACACTAAGCACTGGGGGAAGCCAGTTATGTGAATGCTCTGTGTGCAAAAGAGGGACAGCCTGAGCTGCTTCACCCAAAAGCAGTGTGACACTCCAACTTCAGTTACTTAACTACGACTAAATAAAATAAGTGGATGATGCATCAGCTGTGGCCAAGGCATCGGAGGCAAGTGTCCACTGGAGTCTAGGTGTGGCTGTTCCAGGATCTGATTATCTTTTGGGGTGAAGCAAAAATAAACAAATACTGGGGGTGCAGGTAAAGGGAAGAGAGTGGGGTGGGGGAGAGATCACTACAAATCTCAGGATTCCAACTTGGACACCCCCAGAAACTTCCCCTAACATTATCTCCCAGGCAAAGGTTTTCCTTGAGGCCGGAGCCTCTCGCTCCCCTGTCATCTCTGAAACACTGGGGAGAAAGGGGACCCAAGGAGGAGCTACTGCTTCCTTCGCTTGAACTGGGAAGTTCTGAGAAGCTTCCTAGACCAAAGCTGGCGCTAAAGCCAGAGCCTTCTCTTGCTCCAAGGAAGGGGTCAGCAAACCTTTTCTTAAAGGGCCAGACAGCAAGTATTTTAGGCTTCTTGGTCTCTGTCACAATGACTCTGTTGCTGTAGAAGAGCAGCCACAGGATGGGTGTGGCTGTATTCCAATAAAACTTTATTTATATAAACAGGCAGAAGGCTGGATTGGGCCTTCCAGCCTTGGTCTGGTAATCTCTGCTCTAAAGGGTTCCTGCAAAATTCCTGAGGGGCTCGAAGGGTCACAGTTTTGTCTCAGCAATGCCAGGATGTTTGTGAGGCAGGGTGACAGAACTATAGGCCTAATTCACCAAATCTAAACTCCCTTAGTGAAGGGGGGAGGGTGCATGAAAAAGCCAAAGAAACTAGGGAGATAATAACTCTATTCCAGAAATAATATATACAGGCCTGTCACTCAAAACCTGCTGATGATCTTCATTCTAACTTTCATTTTCATTAACGGTGCATCCTGTTAATTAAAACTTCACTCATTCGTTATCCACTGGTGGCTACTGCCGATGTGAGAATCCTGACTTTTAAGTTCCTAATTATCTCTCGCACAGACTAATATTTGGTTGGGTTTAAACATATAAGTAGGGTGGCTGGGAATATAATTGAGAGGAAAATTTGCTGTGTTTGATCCAAAGTGGCCACCTTCATACAACGGGGCTGGCAAACTTTTTCTGCAAAGGGAACACAGTTAACTTTTTTGGCTTTGTGGACCACAGAGTCTCTGTCACAGCCACTCAGCTCTGCCACTGAAGCAAAAGGAGCCACTGATAACACAGAAATGAAAGGGAAGGGCCGTGTTCCAATAAAACTTTTATTTACAAACATGGCAGTGGCCATGGGCTGTGGTGTGCTTCCCCCTGTTCAAGAAGAGTGACTTTTACCTATAACTTAGGCTGGAACCCACGATTCCTTTAAGAATTGCTGCTTAAACACCGCCATTTGGCATCGAGGCCCATCCGAATACAGAGGGAAGTTTGAGACGTGCACCAAAGTTTTAAGCTACGGTCATGCAAGGTGGTAAATGTGCGGGAACCGTGAGAGCAAGTACGCACAGGGCGCTTATTAGGTGCCAGTGAGGTCGGCCGCACGTGACCCACATTCACTCACACTTGGCATCTGGAAGCCGCTGTCGCTTCCATCTTATAGAAGCAGAAAATGCGCCCGAGGACTAGGGTTCTTCTCGTGGCTCTGGGGCCACTCACTATGTGACACTGAGCCGGTCACCTAACATCCTTGACTCCGTTTCTCTGGGTCCAGTATCCACCCCCATCACAGGCTCTGACAAGGGCCGGACGAGACCTCTGACACGCTGTGGGTCTGTGCCCCCGGCCTGGGCTGGGCACCTGCCCCGCGAGGGCCACTTACACCGAGGATGTGCAGCAGGACGGCGCCGCGCTGTCGCTCCTTATTGGAGAACAGGTCCGTGGGGAACTCGTGAATCGCTGCAAGACAAGAGGACACGCAGGGTTAGCTCTCAATGGGGGGTGAGGCTCAGGGGCAGGTCCTGGAGCAGGACCTGGGGCCGAGGCGGAGCAAGGGACAGGAGGGCTGACAGAACTGGCTCTTGTCCCCTTACCCCCTGGGCCCCCTCAGGTCCACTCAGGCGCCAGGTGTGCTTCCACTAGCATCTTGGGTCATCGCTCACCATGTCACAGGCCCTCCTTTGACCCCAAGAATGTCCCTGCCGGGGTGGACACTGCCACTCCTGCATGGGCTCTCATCACCCTGGGCGGTGGGCAGCCTGCGAGGTGCAGAGCTCCCTGCACTGGAAATCAAACACTTGGGGTCCAGGTACCATCCCTGATACCCCTTTGTGACCCCTTCACAAGTGGTCTGAGCAACTTGTCTGCCTTTCGGGCCCCAGAATGTTCCTGGGTAATGAAGGAATAATTCTTTCTCACCCCCCCGTTTGAGATGACCAGTGGATAAGTACTCCGTGAATGTCATTTCTGCAGGTCCCCCGTCAGACACTCCCACATCCATCCCATGTCCCTTTCACTGGTCCCTTTCACATCAGCTACACTGGAAGCTTCTGGAAAACAGGGAGCCACACTGCCCTGCACTGCAGTCTCCGTGCCTCAGCCAGGCTGGCACAGTAGGTTCTCAATAGACCTTAAAAGTCAACTGAATGAACAATAGTAAAATACTAACAGAAATAGCAATACGTACCATCTCGCCCTATTAGAATGCTTTTTCATTACCTTTGGAAATCCTGTAAATAACTGGTTCATGGTGAGAGCTTGATAATTGCTTGTTAAATAAACTCCCAGGATAAAAATCCCTTCTTTATAAACGTAATTTGGCCCCAAGCTCTGAAAGTGATGGTTTCTCCCTTACATGGAAACTTCTGGTTTTTAAGATTAGATTCTCCCAACAAGACAGAAAACATCCGCTCCCCAGGCACCCAGAAAAGGCTCCCGCTGTAAACAAGCAGCAAGTTAATGAAATATAGATTCTTTCACTTCTGGTTTTTTTCTTTTTTTCCTGTAATCAAACTTATGTAATAGAATTGCTCTGGCAGTTCAAGGGCACGGATCCTCTTCAAGGTCTGTCGGCTCAAGGGGATTATAGAGGGAGGGGCGGCATTCCTGCAGCCGGGACCTTGTTTCCAGGAGAAATGAACTGTCTGGGACATTTCAGTGCAGATCAACAGACATTTCTGCCATGAAAATTCGAGATCGCTCCTGATTCTCCAAACCAGTATTTTGAGAGCTGGTGATTTATTCAATCCTGGGAATTCTCTAAAATTAGAGTAAGGTTATGCTGCCTTTTTGCGTCAAGGACATTACCCTCTGGCCTCCAGCAGGGAGGGAATGTGGATTATAAATGGCTTTGTCTTTGTTTCAGCCACGGTGCCTTGCCCTGCAACCCCATGCATGTGCTGGAGGCTGCAGAGAGAAGCAAATGCCATCCGTGGCCCTAATTTTGCCAGCAAAGACAGCAAGGAACCAGCAGAGCTGCCAGCTGCCAATGACCCACTGCCCCTGTACCCACCCAAGTCTTTCGGACACATGCTGACCCCCTGAGGCAGGCACTGCAGCCAGAAATGTCCTTGCTCTCCAGATGAGGCTCCGAGTGGGGAGTGACCGGCTCGAGGCCCCAGCCACCTAAGCCAGGACCTGCGTTGATCTCCACGGTTAGGGGCTGCCTCTCACAGGAATGGAAACCACCCTGCACTGGGAGACAGAAGGCCTGGATAGAGTCCTGGCTCAACTACCCAAGCTTGTGGGACCCTGGCTGAGTCATTTAATCTCTCTGTCCCTTTATTTCTTCAGTTGCAACCTGTGGCCACACAAGGTAAAGAAATAGTCACCATTACCTTGTGTGGCAGTCAAAGGCTGCAAGCAGGCAGGTGGCCACCTTGCCCTCCCCAGGTGGCAGCTGGTACTGGGACCAGTCCACTCCCCAGTTCAGGGGTCAAATCCTCTAGAAGCTGGTGCAGGGGTACAGACTGTGCACAGCTAGAGCTGTCTCTCCCATCGTTGTCACCAATAGCGACAACTTGGAGCTGCAGACGCCTGTGCAGCTTCTCAGGGCACTGTCTTTAGAAGCAGGTGACAGATTTTAGGAAGTGCCTCTGCTCCTTATTACCCTTTGACCTCGGCAAGTTACTACACAGCTCAGGGCTGTTATCTCACCTACACAGGGGGTCCTACAGAGCCCGATGCTCGAGGCCAGGGGGCTGCAAGGATTACAGGAGAGGGAATGTTTGCACGACACTTAGCCAGTTAGGCTGCTGTGACTGTAGGATCTTAACTTACAGGCTCCTCCCTCAGTGCAAGTCCTGTCCCCACTGTTCCAGAGGACGAGTCTTGGTTTGTGAAAGCAAAAGGAAAGATGGAGCCAGTTTAGTGGGGAAAAGAGTGGGTGAGATGAGGCAGGCCACATCTCAGTGCTGATGGAGTTTAATCCAGGCTTCCTGAGAAACCTCCTTTCTCTTTTCCTGGGGTTTGCTGGAATCGAGAGCCCCGACCCATGCTTAAGGGAGTGATACTTGCATGCGTGAGAGGGGCCGAGACTGACGGACTACTCAAATCCCCACCGGCGACAAGGAAAGATCAACAGGGCTCGCACACGAGGCTTTCGAGGTCAAGCCTAAGCCTATAAGCCACAGAAATCCTGGGGAGGGAGGGGATGTGTGGAGGAGGAATGTGTCTGCAGGTGGAGCCCAGCTTGGGAAACCAGGGATGAT